TCTGCGGGCAGCCCTGCGCCCCCCCGCCATGGCTGAGCTCCCGTGAAAGCCCCCCGGTGGGTGCCCGGCGCGGGGGGAGCCGGGGGGAGCAGATCCGTGGGGACGGGGTGGGGATGGGGGTGGGACAGGGAAGGGGTGAGGATGAAGATGGGGAAGGGGTGAGGAAGGGGGTGGGAAGGGGAATGGAAAGGGGATGAGAAGGGGAAGGGGTGGGGATGGGGAAGGGATGAGGACGGGGATGGGATAGGGAAGGGTGAGGACAGGGATGGTGTGAGGAGATGGGGAAGGGGTTGGAAAGGGGATGAGAACGGGAAGGGAAGGGGATAGGGAAGAGGTGAGGAGGGGATGGAGATGGGGATGGGGTGAGGATAAGGACGGGGAGGGGGGGGGGATGGGGAAGGGGATGAGACGGGGAAGGGGATGGGATAGGGAAGAGGTGAGGAGGGGATGGAGATGGGGATGGGGTGAGGATAAGGATGGGGAGGGGGAGAGGACGGGGATGGGGTGAGGATGGGGGTGGTGGGGCTGTGGAAGGGAGGGGCCCCACACGGGGAGGGGCCGCAGGGCTCTCCCCTGGGGCAGCCGACACAGAAGCTTTGATTGATTTTGTGGGACGAGGGAGAACAATAAAGATGCAACGAAAGCCTCGGTACTTTTAAAAAACCCAATGTAATTCTTCAGTAGTTCTTTGTGTGCCAGCGATGCTCTTTTGAGAACAGGACCCCAAAACGCTTCCCCGGCTGTTCCCACCGGCACGCTTTGCTGCCTTGTCCTCCCCACGTGCTCTCGCACCCTCGGCTGTGTTTGTGCTCTTTGTGTTCCCCACTTCAGCCTTGGCAATAATTTTTCTAGCAACGCCAGAGAGCAGAAGAGCCGTCGTCTGAAATCAGGCTGCGGTTCCACCTCTGCATAAATGCCGCCGCTTTCTGATTTTTGTGGTTAAAGATTCTGCAAATCTGACAACTTGCTTTGAAGTGAGGAAAGTCCTTGAGGCATCGTCTGCCTCGCAAGGCTGTGAAAAATAGTGAATGTCTACAAATTACCAGGTTAATAAGATGCACGTAGAAGTCTCCCTAACGGCGCTGGTGGAGGAGGAGGCGCGTGGCGGAGCTGCAGGACGGTGCCTCGCAAGCCTCTGACA